AGGCTCTTTAAGGATATTTTGGGGGGGTTTGGGGGGAATTTTGGGGTTTTTTTTGAGGAATTTTGGGGTTTTTTTTGTGGGAATTTTGGGTTTTTTGGGGTGTTTTTTACAAGGGTCTTTAAGGATATTTTGGGGTGATTTTGGGGGGAATTTTGGGGTTTTTTTTGAGGAATTTTGGGTTTTTTTTGTGGGAATTTTGGGTTTTTGGGGTGTTTTTTACGAGGCTCTTTAAGGATATTTTGGGGTGATTTTGGGGGGAATTTTGGGGGTTTTTTTGGAGGAATTTTGGGGTTTTTTGGGGAAATTTTGGGTTTTTTGGGTGTTCTTTACGAGGCTCTTTAAGGATATTTCGGGGGGGTTTGGGGGGAATTTTGGGGTTTTTTTTGAGGAATTTTGGGGGTTTTTTTGGTGGGAATTTTGGGGTTTTTTGGGGTGAATTTTGGGGTTTTTGGGGTGTTCTTTACGAGGCTCTTTAAGGATATTTTGGGGTGATTTTGGGGTGTTTTTTGTGGGAATTTTGGGGTTTTTTTGGGGTGAATTTTGGGGTGTTTTTTACGAGGCTCTTTAAGGATATTTTGGGGTGATTTTGGGGTGTTTTTTGTGGGAATTTTGGGGTTTTTTTGGGGTGAATTTTGGGGTGTTTTTTACGAGGCTCTTTAAGGATATTTTGGGGTGATTTTGGGGTGTTTTTTGTGGGAATTTTGGGGTTTTTTTGGGGTGAATTTTGGGGTGTTTTTTACGAGGCTCTTTAAGGATATTTTGGGGTGATTTTGGGGTGTTTTTTGTGGGAATTTTGGGGTTTTTTGGGGTGAATTTTGGGGTTTTTGGGGTGTTCTTTATCTTTAAGGATATTTTGGGGTGATTCTGGGGGGTCCTGAACCCCTTTTTTCCCCCTCCCCAGACGCTTTCCCGGGCAGCGAACCCCGAGTTTTGGGGCTGGCCATGGTCCCCGGCCACCACATCGTGTCCATCGAGGTGGAGCCCCCCTACCCCTGAGGGACCCCTCCCCAAAATGTACCCCCACCCCAAAAGTGCCATTAAAGCCCCTCCCCCACCCACCGGTGACGTGTGATGTGTGTCCCCCTCCCCCCAAAATCCCCCTCCCCAAATTCCTCCCCAAATCCCTGAGACCCCCAAAATTCCTGAGACCCCCAAATTCCTCCCCAAATTCCTGAGACCCCCAATCCCCCTCCCCAAATTCCTGAGACCCCAAAGTTTGTCCTCAAAGATTCCTGAGACCCCCAAATTCCTCC